CTCTATAGATAGTAGAGTAGCCGATGCGCACCCTGGCAGGGAAGTCACAAAGTAAAAACCACTCTTGCCACTGGAGGAGGTGACCAGGCTTCCTGTGGCCTTACCCCAGGACTCCCTTCTTCCCTGAGTCAATTGGGTCATGTGCTCCCTAACCACCCAGCCACCTGCTCACGTAGCAGCACACTCCAGCCTGCATGCCTTGCTAGGTGTGGTTTCCTCCCACTGAGGCTGCTGTGGGATTTTGTCTGGGGTTACAGTGTTTGTCGTGTGCACGTGGGTGTTGGCAGAGTGACCAGGCAATGCCATTGTACACAGGTCTAACGAGGGCTTCTGACCTTGTTTACTGCGCTGTTCTGAAGGATTTTGTTTGAAACACAGGGAACGAAATGAACTTGAAATATTGGGTTGTACTTGAAATAAACATGTCCTGATAACTGCAGCATGTGTTTGAACAAACCCCCCTGGGACTTGAGGGCTGTGCCACTCAGCACTGTCTACAGGAGGAGCTTTGTTAATGACAAACCATCGCTCAGAGGTAGATAGGCCAAGGCACTGAGAACAGATGTCCCAAAATGTGACGGGGGCCTAGCTTTGTCAAGCCTCTTCTGGATGAGCCTGACACCCCCTCCCAGTTTTCCTCCCATGATCATGGGGGCTCCTGGCCCAAGAGGGATCACCTACATGTGCTTTGGCTGTTCTGGTTCATAAGTCATGCTTCAGCTAAGGTAAAGAATAACTTGACCGGGCTGGGGTACAGCTTAAGCTAGAGCACTTGCCAAGTACATGTGGAGTCCTGAGTTCTATCCCAGCATGGAGGGAGGCTTGAGCGAGTAAGAAACTCTACTTGGGGCAGAAAGGTAAATGCCTTGTGGGTGAAAGGTAAATGCCACCAGGCCACAGTGGACCCTGAGTTTCCAGATTGTGGTCCCCCAATTCACTGCTCTGCAAAATTTGAAGGTGCTCACCTTGCCCTTCTTGTCGGGCTTTGTTAAACTGCAGAAAACCACAGCGTTGGACTTGAAGGCTACAATGTTCTCATGGTATTCTCTCCAACATGGATGTCTGGGCTGAGGTTGGTACTGGGCATCCCTTGTAGGCCAGGGAAGTGGTACTAGTTAAGTCCTGGTTTTCTCTCCTCCCTATCATGAGCTAGTCTGAGTGGTTTTTGAGGTGTTTCTTGGCTGTTCAATGATTTAAAGTCACACCAGGAGCCCAGGTGCTTGAAGTTTACTGTCTAGGCCTTTTGTGAATCCAAAGCCGGGGATGAGGCCAGCATAGCCCTGTGGCAGGCCAGTGCTGGCTGGCTGCTTGCTACAGAAATGTCACCAGAGCAGGGTCTTTGGGAAGCTACAACTGAGATTCGTGGCCTGGCTGGATGGTGCTGCCTCCTGGGACAACCCCTTGGTGATCCATAGTGTTGACACTCGGGTTTAGGACACACTTAGTCCCCTTGGCTGGGACTAGGTGCCCACAGCAGGTTGGGGACCAGCTCCTGGATGATAGCGAGTAGGTAGAGTCTAGAGTCCAGATTTACATGATCACCTCACCTATCACCTCTGCCTGGAGCACAGAATGCCCATTCTGGGGCCAGCCTAGGTTTCCCATGGTCACACCTGGACCATGCCACCTGTGCTATTTTTAGTCCTGGGCTAACCTGGAGGATTGGGCCAGCCTCAGAGCTGGTGGACACTGGCTTGTCTAACTTGAGCAATGCCAAGCTTAGAGAGTTCTTCTGTCTCTGTCTGAACTCAGATCCCTGAGTGTCCCCAGCACTTCCCCAAACAGCTCCTGCCGGGAGGATTTGTAGGCAAACATCACCCATGTCACCTCTTTCCAACATAAGAACCTATGACATGAGTCTATAGGGGGAGACACCCCAGGCCATGGGCGGTTGTGTGGCATATCTCTTCTGAGGCCTGCAGTAGAGCCTGCGCGGCAGAATCAGTGGGCTGTGGAAAGCCTGCTTTGGCCTCAGAGTTCAGACCTGTCCCAGGGCTTCATTGTGGGGAAGCAGTTCCCGGTCCACAGGCTGTGTGTGGTCATAGCCCAGGGTCATTACCACTCCTAACCTAGGGAAGCCAGCATTTCTCAAAAGGTCCCGGATGCTCTGCTTTCAAGACCTCTTGACATTTAACCCCAAAGGTGAAAGATGTCCACGGCTTTACCCGCATCCTGATGGCCTAGAGCACCTCTGACTCCTGCAGGCTGTGTGCACACCCTGGGCAGGGAGATGGCGGAAACCTTGGTTCTACCCCAGTGTTCTAACAGTCACAATGTGTACAGTGGACAGTGGGCAGTGAAGAGGACGGAGGGTGGACATATGAAATGCAGGGCCACATGCCTAGTTGTTGGAACCTGTCATCTAGTGGCACACTGTAGACTTGCCTGCAGTCATGTCTTTCTCTGGTGGCTCAGTGTTCAAGTAAGGTGGCAAGGGCTCCTGGTGTCCACAGCTACCGAGGCTGCCTGCCGCTACACAGGGCCATTTGGAGCAGCTCTGGCTGGTGCCTCCTAGATACTCATTGAACCACAGTCCACCTGTTAAGACTTTAGGAGCCCCCCTGCCTAGAGTTCACACTCCATTGTCCCTGGAAAAGCTGTAAGGCACTTTCTGGGGTGCCAGCCTTGAGGGCTTTGAAGCAAGCAACTGAGGGGTCCTGGCTACAGCTCCATGTCCGGGGTGAGGAAGAGGCTCCCTTTGTCATGGGGCCTAATTAAGTGAGATTGCTTTTCCTGCTCCTCCTAAAGTCCGCACGTGAATGCAAAGATCCTCAGCTCAGCATTCTCTCAGGATGGCAGCAATGGTTTCTGTCGATTCTGCTCCAGGGTTTTAAATTAAGCTGGCTGGGATAAGGGTGTCTGCTCATTTATCCAGCCTGGGCTCTTCCTGGGACCAAAGGCTCCTAATGAGCGCTGGAGCTGACTTGGCAGTTTCTTCCTACCTGTGGCTTAAAAATGACCTTATCGTGCTGCTGCTGGTTTGGCAGCCCTCTGCTCATACACTCTGTCCTGCAGCCAGGACTCTGCGGCTGCTGGCTGGCGCTGTCCCCACAAAGACCTGTCACCTGTCCTAGCCTCAATACCTGAGAATGTGGTCTTACTGGAAATAGGCACAGGTGTCATCAAGCTAAGGATCTTGGGATGAGATCACTCTGGATTAGGGGGGCCCTATATCTAGTGCTTGTCTTTAAGGGGGGAGGAGTGAGGGATATGGGGCACAGGAAGAGGCCACATGAAACCAAAGAGACAAAAGAGGGTTGTCCTAGGGCCCTCAAGAAGGGCATAGCTCTCCCCACACCTCTACTTCAGTTTTTGGGCCTCGGCACTAGGAGGAAGGTGAGCTCCTGCAGCTTAAGACACTCAGCCGATGCCATTGTGTCATCGTGGCTCCGTGACCCACAGCCAGACCGGCCCTTCCCTTGAAGATACACACTGATTCATGGCAGGAACACAGACTTTGGGGGCTCCCCCTTCCAGACTCGGCCTGCTGCCATCCTCACTGACTTCCTGGCTACCTGGAGGAAGGGCAGGTGGGTTGACTGAACTCAGAGGGATGGACGGAAGACCCTGCAGAGGTCCTCGGCCAACGCCAGGAAACATGGGGAGACTGGCTAGGCTGGGCATCCCATATGTTCTTCCACATAATTGATGACTTGGCAAGTGTTAATCATCCCCTCATTTGCTCAAATGGCCATAATTTTGGCCATTTTACGTATTTAGATCATTCCACTTAAAATACCAGGGCTTCTAATTTTTTTCCCTTAGGGGGGAAAATGTGTTTCTAAGAAGAGTGCTGGGATATGACCTGCCTTGAAAATGGCTTTCAAGAGTTTGATCTTTCCAGAACTTCTTTAGGGTTTAAGCCAGCAGGCATAGTATTAAGGACACAATGAGCCTTTTGCGATTATAATTACAATATGCCTTGTTTCATTATTAATTGAAAAATGAAAACCCAGAGAAATATAAATGACTAGATAGAAATCTGATGTGTTTACCTCTGGTATTTCCTTTCTGTTCTATTTTAAAGAAACAAGCATTCAGACGTATCTTCCTTATCTCTGCCTCCTCCTCTTCTTCGTGATTTCTCTGGTTCCTAGCTCAGAAGTGACCACATTGTCCATATGTGGTCAGTGCTGACTGGCCACCTTGTGTGAACTCTACTTAACTATCTGTAACAGGTAGTAGCCTGTTTTAAGGTCTCCAAAGCCATTGGACATGAGTCTATTTTGACATGATTTGTTATGACTCAACATAAACACTTCAGGTTAGCTCTTTTCCCATTGGCTAGTAGATGATTCTCTGTGCTTCTCAGCTGCACAAGAGTTAGAGCAGTGGTTCTCAGCCTTCCTAATGCTGCCACCCTTTAATATACAGTTCCTCATGTTGTGGTGACCCCTAGCCATGAAATTATTTTCATTGCTACTTCCTAACTGTAATTTTGCTACTGCTATGAATCGAAATGTAACTATCTGTGCTTTCCAGTGGTTTTAGGCAACCCCCATGAAAAGGTCATTTGACCCCAAAGGGGTTGTGACCCACAGGTTGAGAAACATTGTTAGAGTGTCAGCCTCTTGGAACTCACCTGTTAGATCTGTATGAGTAGGACCTTGGCTGCCACAGTGTCTATAGATCCTGTTAAAATGCAGGTTACTATGGAGCAGGGTTTGGTGAGGGATGGGAGTCTGCATTTTCCATGTGAGCCTGCTGCTGTTGGCCCATGAACTCCACCTTGCCTCAAAAGTTCTAGTATGTCTGTGTGGAACAGAGTTCCCAGGCTGTAGTCTATGTCTTGTAGATGCCATAGTGTTTGGCCAGCCTCTCCCCAAAACAGATCATGTGGTAATTGCCAGATCTGAGTTGTTCCTAGTCTCATGTGAGAGTTTCCCTGCCTCTGACTCTCTTGGCAGCTTAATGGGGTTTTCAGCCTCACATAAAGGCTGAGCCCTTATTTTAAGATGTTTGTTTGCACCCGGTCTTCCGCCGCACGTGTCTTCAGCGAGACAAGAAAGTTTCCTTAACAAAGACTGCTAAGAAAGGCTTGGAACTGAAGCAGAACCTGATAGAAGAGCTTCGGAAATGTATGGACACCTACAAGTACCTCTTCATCTTCTCTGTGGCCAACATGAGGAACAGCAAGCTGAAGGACATCCGGAATGCCTGGAGGCACAGCCGGATGTTCTTTGGCAAAAACAAAGTGATGATGGTGGCCTTGGGTCAAAGCCAATCTGATGAATACAAAGACAACCTGCATCAGGTCAGCAAGAAGTTGCAAGGTGAAGTTGGCCTCCTCTTTACCAACCGCACCAAGGAGGAGGTGAACGAGTGGTTCACGAAGTATACAGAAATGTATTTTGCTCGAGGTGGGAACAAAGCAACTTCAACAGTGAGCCTGGATCCAGGGCCCCTGAAGCAGTTCCCTCATTCCGTGGAGCCACAGCTGAGGCAGCTGGGCCTGCCCACTGCACTCAAGAAAGGTGTGGTGACCCTGCTATCTGACTATGAAGTATGCAAGGAGGGCGATGTGCTGACTCCAGAGCAGGCCCGTGTCTTGAAGCTTTTTGGGTATGAGATGGCTGAATTCAAAGTGACTATCAAATACATGTGGGATGCCCATTCGGGAAGATTCCAGCAGATGGATGATGACCTGCCCGAGAGCGCACCTGAGTCTGAGGGAGAGTCAGAGGAAGAGGATGACAGCTGACTCTAAGATGTGGGACTAAGGCCTTCTAGCAAGTTCTTCATATCTATTGGACCACCAGGACTGCTGTCGCCCCTCTGGAGGGAGCAGCTGTCTATTTTGCTATGGATAAAGACAAGGGAGGGTGCTGGGGCAGGACTTTGTTTCTACAAAGAATAAAATTTTGTCCACGGGGTTTTCCCTGTGGACAGCAAGAGACTTTTCCTAGGGGAAAAAAAAGACGTTTGTTTGCACTCACTAGCTAACTTCCTCTGTGACTGGCTTGTTTGTTCATGGGGGCAGATTTTAGGGTAGTTTTACTACGTCTTTTTGTATGCATTGAAAAAATTTTCACCATAAATAACTCCTCCATTCAAATTGATATGGATATTTTAATTAAAGAAATGTTCAAATACAGTTGTTACAGGTATTAGGTTTTATTCTCTCTGATTTTCTCCATGCTGTAGATTTATAGTCTTTAAAAAAAAGTGTTTAATATGGTTACTTTGTGTTTGGAGGGGTGGGTAGGAATCCACCTTTTTACTGTACTTTCTGAGGAGCCAAGTGCCTTAGCCCTGGCTCCTACTTCTCCATAGGACTGCCAAGTAACCTCTTCTGCCTTGGGCTGTGCTTATCCTGGCTCCCTGGCTTTCATGACCTCATCCAAGGCTGTCATTTCTATTTGTCCAATAATTCTAGTAACTTGAATTGTGCATTTAGATAATTATTTCACTCCTAGACAGCATTTCTTTAATCATACACACACACACACACACACACACACACACACACACACACACACACACACACTTTTGCCTCTCTTACTGGCTGACTGCTGTGCCCACTAAACACTGATGGTAGGGGCAGCCAGCACCTTTGTCCTTGGCAGATATGGATGGGAATTCTTATAAAATTTCTCCGAGGAAGTAGTTTGTTTAGGCTTTTGGTAACTACTCTGTGTATTACATACTTTTCTGTTGCTGTGATAAAACACCATGACCAAGGGAACTTATAGAAGAGAGGTTTTATTTGGGCCAACAGTTCCAGAGGGATAAGAGCCCACCATAGTGGCGAGGTGTAGCAGCAGACAGTCATTGTCATTGGAGCAGGAAGCTGAGAGCTCATATCTTCAACTGTGAGCACAGAGCAGAAAGCAAACTGGAAGTGGTCCAAAGATTTAAACCAGTGGTTCTCAACCTTCCTAATGCTGCGACCCTTTAATACAGCTCCTCAGGGTGCAGTGACCCCTAACCGTGAAATTATCTTTGCTGCTACTTCCTAACTGTAATTTTGCTGCTGTTATGACTTGTAGTGTGAATATCTGTGTTTTCTGATTGTCTTTGGTGACCCCTATGAAAGGGTCATTTGACCGCTAAGGGGTTGTGATCCACAGGTTGAGAACCACTGATTTAAACAGTGATGTGCTTCCTTTAACAAGGTTGTACCTCCTAAACTTCCCTAAACAGTGCCACTAACTGGGAATCATGGATTCAGATGCCTGAACCTATGGGGGACATTCTCGCCCAAACCAACTTTGGTGGTTTCTTTCTAGAAGATTCTTTCAGTGAGTGGATATGGAACTGTTTCTGCCTTTTCCTGTTGAGAGGGCGATATTCCTTCCCTCCTCCCTCTGAAACACAGCACTTTGCCCTTCAGGTCTAATGGTGTGCTATGCTGGGCTCCCTGGGACAAACCCACCTTGGACATGGTAGACTCTAAAAATGAAAATACTACCTTGTGGTGATACTTTGTGCTCTCACAAATAAAGCTTGCCTGGAGATCAGAGTGTGGAGCTAGCCACTGGAAGCCAGGCAGTGATCGCACACACCTTTAATCCCAGCACTTGGGAGGAAGAAATAGGAAGTGACATGGCTGGGTGGAGAGAGGAAGTGATAAGGCAGAGTGGAGACAGGAGCACAGCCCTTTCAGGCTGAGGATTCAGTAGAGGTAAGAAGTCTCAGTTGGGCAGTGGTGGCTCACGTCTTTAATCCCAGTGCTCAGAAGGCAGAGCCAGGCAAATCTCTGTGAGTTCGAGGCTAGCCTGGTCCACGAAGTGAGTTCCAGGTCACAGAGAAACCCTGTCTTGAAAAACAAAACAAAACAAAACAAAGCAAAATTAAAAAAAAAAAGTGTCTCTAGTGGCTGGCTGTTCTGCTTCTCTGATCTTTCAGCTTTCACCCTGCTATCTGACTCCAGGCTTTTATTAAGACCAATTAGAATTCGTGTTACACTACCTTAAGTAGTTATGAACATTTGTGGCTATTTAGATGTGCTAACAATCAATCTAGCTACTTTTCCCAGCATCTCTCAAAGCATCTTTCATGACTTTTGCAGGGTTGACACCTTTTTCTCTGGCTTATTTTAATACTGGCTTTTAATCTTTGACACTAAAACATTACTCATCATGTACTCTGTGTTGGTTTTACTCTTGGTTATCTTGTTTGCAGTTTGTTGAATTTCTTGCATCTATAGGTTAACATTTTCCAGCAAAATTTGGAGGCCTTTGGTCATCATATGTGGCTCTGTCCATACCTCCCTCTGCTCCCTCTGGAGCTCCAGTGTTGAATATTAGATCCCTGGATACCACTTCATAGGACTCTTGGATTCTGTTATTATTATTATTATTATTATTATTATTATTATTATTATTATTATAGTCTTTCCTTTTCTGTACTTCTTGTTGAGCTGGACTCAGGTCTGTGATGCTTTTCCTTGGCCTCCTCCAATCTCCAGACACACTGTCTGGAATAGTCCTTCTTAGTTGCCATGGCTACGAGTTCTAGATTTCCCCATGCTCTCATTTCTATTCCTTTGTTATTTATCATCATTTTTTTTATTGAGATGCTTTCCTCCACTTAACTATGCACATTTTATTTTTATTCTTTGCATATATCCTATATTTGTTTTTGAACATATTTGTAATAGTTGCTTTGTATCTGCTCTGTCTAATATTTGAGTCTAGTTGGTGTCAGTTTATATCAACTTTGCTTTCTCTTGCTTATGGTCAAAATTTATTGTTTCTTTGCGAAGCTACCTTGCTTCTTGATTAATAACCAGACTTTGCAGGTAGAATGCTGCAGTATCTCTGGAATTCTTTCTGCTCTTCTGAAGAAGAATTCTTTCTTTACTGCATCATATTTCTTGCAGCAGGCAGGCATTTATGTCTCATTTGTTTTTGTGACATCTTATAGGTGCTCTTTCCTCACCTCGGCCTCCTGAGCTTAAGTTTAGGACCAACCAAGGCTGGAGGCAGAGATGGGCACCATTTAAGATCCGTGGCTCCTTTACTTCTAGAGATTTCCCCACAGCCCTGGCTGTGGCTCTGATACTCCTCAGCTGACAGCTTCCGGTGGCTTAGTGCTCATTCTGGGGAATGCATTCAGTCACAATCCACGGAGATTCACAGGGCTGGCCATGCTGGGCTTCTCAGAGAGGGTTCTCTCTGGCCTCAGCAGCCTCCCACCAGCCCTTTGGCATCTCCAGTGTGTGTGTGTGTGTGTGTGTGTGTGTGTGTGTGTGTGTGTGTGTGTGTGTGTGCTGTGGCCATGGGCAGGGCAGCATGCATTTCAGTGCTTGCTTCTCTTGGGGCCCTCATGCTACCACAGCTCCCCTTCTATATCCACAGCTGCTCCCCACCTTGGGCCCTAGTCTTGGTACTTTTGACCAGCAATGCATTTCCTGTATTTCCTGCAGACAGAACCAGGGGGTGGAGATGTCTGGGAAACTGCAGACTTGGACTTGCTTTCCCAGCCAGGGAAGAGATGAGGCTGAGGTTGATCCTCCTGGATTCTCTGTGTGCTGGATAACTGGCCTGAGTCCTTAGTGTCGTCTGATTGATTTCCCAGTCTTTATGGTCGTGATCTGTGGGCAGAGCCTTGCTGCCAGCTTGCCTCCTGCCATGATTTCATATCATCTCAGACTGGACATCACATATTGATCATGGTGTGGCAAGTTCTACATCAGGAACTTCTAAACATTCTTGGCTCTTTTGTTGCATTGATTTTTTTTTTTTTTTTTTAAAATTTCTGGTTTCTTCGTGAGTGGAGCCATTCTAGTGTGGAAGTGCTGGCACCTGCCATATTCTTGCTAGCGTGTGGCTTGGGTAACAGGATTGTACGGAGTTTTCCTTTGTGACCCGTGGAATGCTGTTAACCTCTGAAGACTGGCTTCTCCAGTGAGGTGGGTAGTGCCGTCCCGCAGTGCATGGTGTCACCAGGGAGATGATGGTTTGCCGTGAGCTTTGTTTAAACTCACCCTTGAGTCGAGCCTTCTAAGCAGATTTCCCATCACATTACCTAAGACGCTGCCGAGGAACCCGATTCTAGGATCACTTTTATCCTGCAGTGGCATCCACTTAACACCAGGAGCCCTGGGCTTTTAGTTGAATAAAGGTCAGACAATCAGAAGTCCGGACGGACAGCTCATTTATCAAGCTGAGACAAACGTGCAGCGCTCCCGTCTCTGGTGCTTGGAGTGGGGGGATGCACGGTGAAAGGTTAGGGATGCGAAGAGCCAGATTCGTCTCAGCGGCGTGTGAAGATGCCTCAGAGCAGATGCTTCCATTTCCACTCAGTGCGGTGGGTGGGGGGCTTGTGATTTCCAGTGCTAATTACTCCATTTAGGAGTCTTGCCTGGGAGACACTGTCAAAGGGGTCAAGGCTGCCCTTGGCAGGAAATCTTCTCTGACTGTCTGTAAGAGCACAGAAAATGTCCCCGATGAGGCAAGGACGGTAAATTAACAGATAGCGGATCCCTTTCCAATAAACTCCAGTGAGTCCTGTGCATTTTAATTAGCCCTCTTCCAGCCTAAGGCAGGGGGAGGGGTAAAAGGTGATGTGTGGCGCCCCCTGGCTGTACTTGGAATAATGTCTCCGACACACTTGCTTTGCAGTACCCTTATTGACACTAAAGCCAAGGATCCAGGTCTGGGTAGGTCAGCATGATATCAAGGGTGCTGACAGCATATTGGGCAGGAGCATTTCCCCCAGAGCACATGTATCCATGAGGGGAGTTTGGCATTATTGTCAAGGTGCTCAACTCAGTTATTAAATGACCGCATCTACAAGCGATGGATTGCTTTGCCCAAGAATGTGGGGAACTCGGACTCCATGGGGGTGAAGTGACACACTGGTACCCTCATGTCCACAGAGGGGTTGGTTGCTGTTTCTGAGATGAGTCCACACTCTCCAGACACTGCTGTGGGGCTGATGGTCTCTGCCCCGCC